ATGAACTTATGAAAAAAAAAGGCTTATGTGAACAGTGAAGCATTAAATTTAATATTATAATAATGGTCTGAAACTTAATTCAGCAAATACGCCCATTTTGGCTTCATGCTGTTACCTAGAATTACATTTTGTGAAGTCAAAATAGTGATTTGTAGTTTGAGTAAATAATGTCTACAGTATCTCCAGCTTTGTTTGCTTACTTTTTTTACTATCCCTATTTGCAGGTTTTTAAATTCCCAATTTTTTTTATTTATCTTGTTTGCTGGCTTATGTAATCCTAAAGGCAAAAAGATTACTTGATATGATAGCTAACTTTATACATTGTAATGATAATAAACATAGCTAGGTTCATGATGATTTACTGTAGATATTGACTATTTGATCGAATTAGTTTGAGGTGTAAAATGTTATCATGCAGCTGGAGATTATCATGGAAATTTGTTTGAGAATATTGTGTAACTAAATTCTCTCTATATATAATGCAATGAGCAAATATATGCCTAGACTAAGACATAACCCCCATTATGTGCACATAACATTTTACCAGTAGAAAAGCAGCCTTTTCAAATAAAACATATACGACTAAAATATCACTTTATATAAATCTTTGTGTCTTTTAAAGTAATTATCCATAAATGTGTGTAACAAAATTTAATATCACGTGTACTGATTTTTCATTAACTCCTTCACTTCCTACATGATATAGGGGTTGGCTCTCTAAAGACACCGATTGTATAATGTACAATGCATTGAGTATCTACATGTTACAGTCATCTAATGTTTATCTATTACCCACTGGTAATTCCTGTTTCACCCTGTATTTAAGCTTTTTAAAGGAACACCAGATATATTTAAGAAAGCTAACTTCAAGGGGTAATGATAGCATCTTTTACACTAGAATTATGATGTTTTTTAGCTTATGTAAAATATAGAAAACACAATCGACTTTTTAATACCCATAAGTCCTTCACTGTACTTTATTTAGTATTCTACAAAAGGTTTGGGTGCAATATACCAAGTCATCTTTGTTATAGGCTGGCAAGAGAATAATAATTATTACAAACAGGCAGATTTTCTTCTCTAACCGTGTGCTTTTTCTTGTGAATTGTTTTTGTATATGTACAGCAGTCAATAGTAAAAGTTTTAAAGTGTTGTTGGAACTGAATCTTTACTGGTTAAGGTGCTTTTTGCTAAACCGTTCTATTATTAAACACTACTGTGGTTCATGATACTCGACCCTTTGTATAATTTTTGCAATCAAAAGTAAATTAACTGAATACAAAAACAATTAATTCCATAAAAGCTACATCTTTAGATCACTGAGGTGCATTTAGAAACTCAAAATGAAAACCAAAAGAGAAAAGAAACAGGACTAAACTGCAATATAAACTGAAGAAAACAAACAAAAAAAAGCAATAGGCTATCTAGTGTAGGCAGTACACAATGTGATATAGTTGTGTAGGCATCTTTATAAATTTGCATTCATGCAGAGGTTTAACCTCCACAATAAGGATACATTTAATATCTCATACACACTGTAGTTTGCTTTAAAATGTTATACAACCGTCCATCATTTATGCACAGTTGTGAACAGGTCTCTTCTTTCTAAAGATAAACTCTCAATTGTTTTTAAATATTTTATCTGAATACTATGTCATGAGGTTATATATATACATTTATCATGTTCACAGACATTTCTGTGCCTTGAGGTTTCTCAAACGGTTCCTCAGAAATTGCAATCTGCTCATTCATGATTTTTGGAATGTATATAAAGAGAAAGGGGTAGCAGTGACCTCATCATATACCCAAAAGCCTCTGGCAACAGAAACTGCACTGCACTGCACAGCAACAGTCTCCAAATAAGATCATCTCAAAGGACACATCATCAGTAGTGGAGGAAAGGGCTGTAAGGCACTCATACTATTATTTAATAATAGTACACGTCCTTAAAGATATTGATGATAAAAGTGAGTATCGAGATACATTCATTAAATAAACGAAAGCTTCAAGCATATATTAATATTGCACTTTGCATTAAAGACAGTGATAAGATTAGTACAAGACTTGGTGTTGATGTTTTAAACAATTTATCCTATAGGGCTAGTAGATCCCATTTTTAATTTGCTCAATTTTAATGTGAGTTACTCAAATTACCCCACATTTTGTTACATTATAATTCAAAGTTTGTGAAAACAGTAATTGTACCACTGTGTTAAATAAAGAATTTAAAAAACTTTCTCTTGTGACACTAATTTCATTGAAAGCTACTGATATAAATTGAAGAAAATATTGATTTTTATTTCTCAATATCAGAATTAATAAGAAAAAGTTTCATTCCAAAATTTATATCTTATTCTCTTTAACGCTTTTATAACGAAGAAAATATTTATTCAAAGAGGTTTAGGGATAGAAAAGGGTACGAAAGTAGCTCCAATTTTTGCTACTCTGAGCATAATTTTTTCTGTTAAGTTGATATACCTTATATTCTCCTTAGAAAACTTACATCTGATCTTAGATACTATCTAAAACAACCATTAAAAGGATTTGATTTCTTGATGAATTGTTTCATGATCTGGAGTACTTCTTTAAATACTCCTATCTTTAAAATTTTAAGAAGAGCTAATTATTCTATATAATTCACTTATTATATGGAAAAGAACTTTGATATTTTCTAGATGTGTTTGATATTACATAGCTATTAATCCTCACAACTACTAAGATTTTCAGACTAACTCCGTTAAATATATTGAATGTTTAAATATATATATTTAAACATAATAAAGACAACACTTTCATTGTATACAATACAATCGTTGGTGTTTAAAGACAAAAGAATTAAAACAGTTTTGAAAATTTTCCCTATTAATAATGATGATAGAGTTTGTTTTATATAGCTTAAACAAACATGATAATCTCAATAACATTAATTGTGATTAACGAAAATCCCTTTAGGTAGTATACATACTCTAGTAATATAAAATATATTCAAAGGTAACAGGAAATTATTTAAAATTATAGACACGTAAGTAATATTAAGGACAAAAACAACTCAAAATTTTATATAGATTACT